AGCTCTGCACCTACGGTGAGGATGCTGGCACCGGTCCTGGAGATGGGGCAGGCTGACTGGAGAGTTCTCCTAAACTCATTTGCTCTAGAACAGAACAGCCTGCCAGCACCATGTAGTACTGGAGAACTGATCTCCACCTGTTTGAAAGGCCAGTGGCCCGTGGGATGAAGTCTTCTGTTGCAAAGGACTGAAGAGACAGCAAGCCACTCAGCACCAGGCCATGCCACTCCTTTCCCCCTTACCTGCTGTTAAAAGCAGGCCACCTTCCAATACACAGGCATTTGTTTCCACAGGGCCGTGCTCAGCGTGGCCCTTCTGCTGTGGGCTTGTTTTTTCTTTGTTCCCCCTGTATGTACTGAACAGTCTACCACTGAGCCACAGCTCCAGCAGCTGTAAGCCGTGCATAGGATCTGCATTTAATATATTCAGTTATTTCCCAATTGCAATTTTTATTTTTAAAATGCATTATTATTGTTATTATTATTGCTAGTGTGTATGCACGCCATAGCTCATGTTAGAGGTCAGAAGACAAATTTGTGGCGTCTCTGCTCTTTTTTCGCTCTTATGTGGGTTCTGAGGATTAAACTCATTGCCAGGTTTTCATGAGCTGAGCCATCTCATCAGTCCTTGCTTCTATTTTGGTCGGTTCTGGGTACAGAGCCCAGGGTCCTATGCATGCTCTACCACTGATGCAGCCACAGCGGCTACCAAGCAGGACTAGTGCCTTAAACACACAAGGCTTCTTTGAGCCCTCACTACAAAAAGTTGGGATGGTCTGCCCCTCTTACCCCCCTCCCTCCCCCGCCTCCCTCCCCCACCCCACCTAACACGCATCTTGCTCTTCTGCAAGCAGGTGGTGTCTGTGCTCTGCTGCTTTGGTCTCTGGATCCCTCGCGCCCTCACACTCGTGGAAATGACCATAACGGCGTGAGTGTCTGGCCCCGCCCACCTCTGGGGATGAACACCCCTTTACTGTCCTTTTCTGATTCCCAAGCCTCCAGAGCCCTGTCTGTAAGCCCCATTGATATGAATCTAGCTCTTGCCCACCTGTGCTAATGTGAGACTCTTGATCCTGCTTGTGCTCAGGGAATGCCTTTTTGGGGCACACTCCTCTGTCACCTGTTTGTTCCCAAATTGCCCCTTCCCAGTCCTCTGGACCCAGTTACTTCCCTCTTCCACATGTCCTGCATCTAAAACGCCAGCCTCAGTTGGGCAGCAGGGGCTCATGCCTTTAGTCACAATATGTGGGAGGCAAAAGCAGGCAGATCTCTGGGTTCAAGGCCAGGTTGGTCCACAGTTAGTTCCAGGACAGCCGTGGAGAAGCCGTGTCTTGAAATTGAAAAACCAACAAATATGCCAGTCCCTTTGCTCTTTCCCCCAGCGAGTGCCGCCCCTCCCGGAAATCTTTAGCAGCAGAGGGGTTCACAGTGGTGCTCCCTCCCATCGTGCCTGCAATCCCATCTCTCTCCCCCAGGTTTTATGCTGTAGTCTTTTACCTGCTGATGCTGGTCATGGTGGAAGGCTTTGGGGGGAAGGACTCAGTTCTGAAGGCACTTCAGGACACCCCAATGAGGGTGCACACAGGTCCCTGCTGCTGCTGCTGCCCCTGCTGCCCACCCCTCATGCTCACCAGGTAAGGCAGAGGAGGGGAATCCCACAGGGATAAGCCATCTTGAGGCTCTGCAATCCCAGTTCATGGCGCTTGAAATTAAGGCTGTATGGGACAGTCAATGGTAAAGGCAGACATCCCACAGCCAGAAACCGCCACATGGACTCCCGCCCCTGAGGAGAGGGAAATAGAGGAAGAATTCTTTTTCTTTTTCTTTGTAATGTGGATTAGTGTTTTGCCATGGATTTCTGGTCCCCTGGAACTGAATGACAGTTGTGAGCTGCCATGTTGGTACTGGGAACTGAACCAGTTCTTCGGGAAGATCAGAGTTCTTTTTTTTTGTTTGTTTGTTTATTTGTTTTGATTTTGTTTTGTTTTTTTCTTTGTTTTTTGAGACAGGGTTTCTCTGTGGCTTTGGAGCCTGTCCTGGAACTTGCTCTGTGGACCAGGCTGGCCTCGAACTTACAGAGATCCACCTGCCTCTGCCTCCTGAGGGCTGGGGTTAAAGGTGTTTTATATCATGCCCAGCTTGCACTGCATACTTTAGTGGCAAAGCAAAACCTGCTTTGCCCCTCTGCCTACTTTGAGTAATGGACTTGAAGTCAATACTTTGAGCTCGTGCTCAAAAGGCATCAACAGAGACAAGTGTGAGGCCGGGGGTTCCCAGTACCCTCCATCTACCCTCTGCTGTGCCTTCTTCATCCCTGAGACATTTTGTGTCGTGATGGCAGCCCAGCCTTAGGAGCTCAGTGGAGAGGCCAGGCTTCCTTAGGGCGCGTGGTTTATGGGTCCGTGTTAACTCTCTCCCTCCCTCAGGAGGAAGCTCCAGCTGCTGATGTTGGGCCCTTTCCAGTATGCCGTCTTGAAGATAATGCTGAGCATAGTGGGCCTCTTTCTCATCCCTGATGGCATCTTTGACCCATCAGACGTAAGCCAGGAGAGGGCAGTAAAGTCCAAGACTTGTTGTCTTTGGGTTCTAGAACTAATATCTGAGCACCAGCAATATACGGGCGGGGTGGCCAGAGGGGAGTAACAGCCCAGAGAATCTGGTGGGGAGATGGTCCAGCCTTTGGGGCTGTTGTATCCCCTTTCCCCCACACGGAGGAGGAGGAGAAGCAAAGAGAGGGTTTGTCTCCCTGAATGCTTTCTGGTCTGCCACCAGATCTCTGAGAAGAGCACAGCTCTGTGGATCAACACTTTCCTGGGCGTGTCCACGCTATTTGCTCTCTGGTCTCTGGCCATCCTTTTCCGTCAAGCCAAGGTGCACCTGGGTGAACAGAATATGGGATCCAAATTTGCTCTGTTCCAGGTAACTGCACCCCAGAAACGGTGTTTGGCAACACAGGACGAGTTAGGACTCACAGAGGCAGAAGTGGACTCCATAGTCTCAATCTTTGGGTTTTCTGGGAGATTTGGAACATTATCTCCTCCCCTGCCATTTTATCTTTCATATGCCTTTCTGTTCCACAAACACCATCAACCAAGCTTAAAACAATAGAAATGCATTGTTGCACAGATCTAGAGCCTGTAAAAACCTGAAATCAAAATACAGGCAGGGTCATAATCTCTTTGGAACCTAGAGAACCCAACTTGCCACTCCCACTCTGGATCTGGCCAGCAGTCCATGGTGGGCCTTCCTTGGCCTTCTGCTGTATCACTCCAACCTCTGTGTCCATCATCGTATGACCTTTCCCACCTGACTGTCTTTGTTTTATGTGCTTGATGCCACTGGGTATCTGATGGTGGCCATGAGATAAACTGATTTTTTTTTATTAGCAACCCTAAAGAATGGTGTGGAAGCAGGGTTATAATTTGCCTGAAGATGAAAACTACAACCATTTCCCGTAGTTTTAAATCAATCCTCCATTAACTGCAGAGATTAGGTATACCTAGTCTGTGCCGGCCTAAGGACCAGGGGTGGCAGAGCCAGCCTCACCCCCACACCTGTCTCTTCTATTCCACAGGTTCTTGTCATCCTGACTGCCCTGCAGCCCTCCATTTTCTCCGTCTTGGCTAATACCGGGCAGATTGCTTGCTCGCCTCCTTATTCTTCTAAAATAAGGTCTCAAGGTGAGCACTTAGGGCTCCTTTCTGTGTCACGGGCGAGACTGGGAGCAGATGGGGAAGAGGGGACCTAGGAACAAAAGTTGGGCCAGCCTGATGTCTGCTCAGAATGTGCAGGAAGAATCCAAGAAACCAGGCAAAGGCTCTGAGGACCCTTCCCTCTCTCATCATAGAGAATGGCAGCGTCCCAGCTTGAGGCTAGTCCTAATGGCCAAACCAGGAGGGCAGGGGCTCAGTCCTCCCCATGGAACAAGAATGGGTATGGTTAGGAAGCAAACTGCCAGGTCAGGTCACAGATACCAGAGCAGAGTTCTGGCTACCATTAATCTGTCTTGCTCCACACAGCAGTTTGGTAGCCTTGGGTCCTGGTTGGGAGGTAAACTGGAGTGCCTCTTAGCTCCCTTTGCCAGGGCTGCTATAGCTCCCTCCTCTAACACAGCATGACCTCTGTCATGTTCCCCTCCACACTGCAGTGATGAACTGCCACATGCTCATCCTGGAGACCTTCCTGATGACAGTGCTGACACGGATGTACTATCGAAGGAAAGATGACAAGATTGGGTACCAGAGTTGTTCGGCACCAGACCTAGACTTGAAACTCAAAGCCTGAGGAGAGTGGCTTGGACTATGGAAAAGATACTGTCCTTCTCAGGAGAGCATGTGATTTCTTCTGTCCCTTGGCCTTAACCAGCGGCTAAGGCTCCCACTGGCAGTGCAGCTGGCAGCTTCCATGTGCCATAGGGATGAAGGTAAAGTGCAGTATGCTGAACTGTTTTGAGTTTTGCTCAGGGAAGGCATTTGAAGTTTATAATAACAGAGTGTCTGCATTGGCATGTTGCTTCTGGGGGTGCACACCACTACTGGCCACCCTGAGGCTTCTGAGGGTGCCACTATTGGTCACTCTGAGTCTTCTGGGGGTGCATGTCACTATTGGTCACATTGAGCTTTTGCACAGCAGAATAAACGGGAGAAGAGTATGTGTTTTATGTATGGTTTATCTGATACAAAAATGGGAATAGATCTTAGCTGGGCAGAACAGCATGAGCCTAACTTCTAGAAGCCAGACTCTGCATGCAGTACAAGCCATTCTTTCCTTGGGTGTATCAGTTGGCCATGGGAGGTCTGGAATCCCCTTGTGCCAGCTTTTTGAGTTTTCTAAAAGAAGCCGCAAGCGGAACTGCTCATTAATACTGTCATGAAGCTTGATCTTGAGGACAGAAATCAGGACAAATCCAAAGGAACTGAGAATACAAATAAAAGCCCCCAATACTTAACACATTAACACATGTAAGCCTGGTCAAAGCTACAGGAAATAGAAACACCAGGCAAAACCACGTGGCCTTTATTTGGCTAAATGAAAAGAACCAAAATAACCTTAAACAAACTATTAGACAGGAAAGTGACTCACTGAACTCTGAGGCAAACTCCCCATTGACTCACTCTGGTGATGAGCAGGTGTTCATGCCACGGGACTCTTCCCAACAGTGTTTCTGTTTGGGAGCCTTGATGCAAAGCACCTAGGCAATCAATTCTCACTGTTTAAAACAGCTCCTCCAAGGTGGTGGAAGGTGCTCACTTCAAACCCAGTAGAACCCAATCTGGGCCATCCAAATGCAATCCTGGTCTCTAACCCAATCTCATACCAACAAAAAAAATCTGGCAGACAGACTATATTTCTTTTTTTCTTTTAGGAGAATTAACCTTTAATATTATTAAAGTCCAAGAACATGTTGTACTTATTTTTTCTGAAAAATAGAAGCTAGGGACCATTCTTTATCCCATGATAATCTGTGTGTGAGAGAAAACAATCATTGTTAATGACTTTGAAAAATACCTTTAAAAATACTTATATTGGTAAGCTTAAAAAAATACCATTAGTTTTTAAAACATTGTTAAGGAAGCTTCCTTTGAACCCGTGTGGGTTCAACTTCGGCACATGTATGCTGACAGAGATCTAGAAGCGTTGGTTTTAAGGTGAAAGCACGCAGGGAAACAGAGCTGACTAGAGAAGGGATTGGAAAGCTGATGAGGAACAGATCTCAAAGACAACAGCCTCTATCTCATGAGCTACAGGAGTGACCGTGGGCTGGGGAGAGCTACCGTGGAGGGTTATTCCAGATGGCCCGCCAGATGCGCAGCCACCACCGAGAGTGACTGCGGTGCTGCTGAGGAAAGTGACTGGAAACGGTCTCTTCAGCCTCTTCTTCGGGATTTCCCGCCTTCTCACCCTCTCAGCCCCTTCCTCAAAGGGTCTTTGGCCTAACTCTCAGGAGCAGCTGCTGCGGGCACTAGCGATCCATTTCTACTTTCTCTGTGTGGCAACCTCTCCTCTCCATTCTCCAGTCTAGCATCTGAAAAGAGCAAGGTCCCTGTGCAGCCCACGTCCAGGTTGGCTGCTGTGCCGGCCTCCTCTCAGAACCGGCTAGAAGGCTCCTGTCTGCAGCTACTTCCTATGGCATGGAGGCCGCGCCGTGGAGGCCAAACAGCTTCAGGCTCTCCCATCCTTGCCCCCTGACCCTCCCAAGCTGCCTGCTTTCTTACACGGCCTTGGGGGAAAGCTCTCAGTTAAGAGTGCACAGGAAGAGGTTAGGATTGCAGCCAGACACAACATCCAGATGCTTAACCACACTTCACTAGGTACAAGTGGCCCACAGGGCAGCATCCCAGCAGCACCTTTTTCTAGCACCTAGGAGCACACTGACCCTCAGTACCTAGCATGCTGCACACCCTTCTGCCTGCTATCTGAGAACATGAGTTAGGAGACAAGAAAGAAAGGGTGAGGGACATTCCAAGAACACGAGCATAGGCTAGTCTGGCTAAGGTACACATCTTGTCAGTGTCTAGGCTCTGATGCTGGAGATCCTTTCCCTCTCCACAGTGCTAGCTTGGGTGGCACACACTGAGAGAACAAGCAGGTGAGTGGCAGCAGTGAAGCCATCACCTTTGTATACCTAGGAGAATAAGGCAGAGAGAAACGGATCCCCAAAGAGAAGACCAGAGTAGAACAGTTAAAACGAGCTATGCAGTGCTACATAACACGAGAAAACACTAATTTCAACAGCTCTGACAAAGGATTCCAGGCCAAGGCCATATACACCCTATCTGATAGTGAAAACAGCACTTCATGAGGAGTTATGGAGTTTCCACAGGCCATCGGGACACCAAGTTGTGCGTCTCTGATCCTCTCCTGTGCTCTGCCTGCCTGGAAGATAGTTGAGGGCCTAGGTAGGCCTGCCATGCAGGCACTGTGTGGTGCTAGCCTCAGACCCTTAGGAAGTAGCAGTTCCCATCAGAAAGTGCCTCGGGAGGACCATGTTATGAATGCTCACAGTCCTAGCAGAGGTACAAGGAAAAAGAAAATGCGGTTTTCTTTGCTGAAAACACTAAAGCTCCACCCCCACAAGGGGTACTTATGAGTGACAAGTAGGTCCTGGAATAAACAATTTTGCCCTAAATGCAGCTACAGGCTGACAGTGATGAGCTCCTGGGTCCCGTAGCTGAGATGAGACAAAAGGGGTCTGAATACATCAGCTCACACTCAGTAGCACGTGTTGAGAATCAGCATTCTTCGATTGAAATTCAAGTTCTGTTTCCTCTTGGAACCAACAGGAGTGGAAGCATAACCACCAGCACAGTGGGCCAGGGGGCACGGACCTCTGTGTGCTAGCAGTTTAACGCATGCCTGTGGCTTCTGGAGGGGCGGCAGAGGAAGTCCCTGCCAGGCACAGTTCTTAGGAGAATAAAGCGTCTCCATGGGACACTGATTGGAGCATTCTCAAGAGGAGCAGAGGTCAATAAGTGTTTTAGAGATCAAAGTGTTTTCTGACGCTTTGCCTGTGCGCTCTGTGAAAATCTAAGTGTTAAATATGGCAATAAGCAACATGGGTTAAGGGGTCAAGTTCAAGCTGGGGACATTTACAAAGCATCCTTTGTATAAAGCCAGGCATGGTGCTGAGATGGCAGCTGCAGGGTGAGGGATGTATTCCCAGCAGAAACTCAACCACAGCCGCCCTGGCACTAGACTGAGTTCATCCCACCATCCTCTGCAGTCCCAGCAGCCCTCAGTGCCCCTTCCTTTACAGGCAGGTTGCAGGAAAGAGACTGACAAGAGCTCCCAAATAACAGGCAACAGAATTTTCTGAGAAGATGAACACAGCAGAAAAACCACAACTGCCGCTCTGTGGTTCAGTTGCGTCCCCATCAGTGTCCAAAAAGAAACTCCTCAGGGAGTAAGAAAAGTGAGGCTTAGATCTCCTCCTTCCCACAGCCATGCTGATACACGGCCAGCAGGACACTCGGAATTAGGAGCTAATTCAGGCTTTAGGTATTTTAGGGAAGTTAAAATTGCACAGTCTTGCCAAATTGCGCATCAGCATGGCCCTTTGAAGGATCTGGCAAGCCACTTTGCTCCAGAACAGAAGGCAAGCACTAGTGTCAGGAAGAAAGGCCTCTGTGTGGTACACGCTTCCTTCTTCTGCCCACTCCTCAGGGCAAAAAATTAGTTCTACTTACTATATTTGAAAGACTAATTTTTAAACAATTAATAAAAATGACAATTTCCCTGTCAAGATTACATGAGCATAAACAGTAAAGCAAGTTCTGGGGCGGAAGATGGACGCAGAGCAGGCTTCTAAGGTGTGCTCAGCTGACGGAGGCCTCAGGGCACAGGCTGTTTTGTTTCCCCCATTCCCAGGTCCTCTGGCCCTATTGTCTTTTCTTTGTAGATGTCCTTAGGTTTAGTGTTGGGATCACAAAATGGAATTCGACAGAGCTTCTGGAGGTGACGGGCAGGGGGAGGGGGAGGGAACAGGGATGAAAAGTTAGTCCTCTTCATCCTCGCTGATGTCACAGGTCACAGCCTTGCGCCTAGAGAGACTTGCTGGGGAGGAGGATGGGGAAGTCTTGCCAGAGAAGGGCCATCGAAAGGAGGGGGAGGGGGAGCGTTCATGAGTAGGGCTGCTGCTGGGACTCTGCCTGGGACTGATGGCCTGCAGCATCCGACCTTTTCCCTCTTTCAGCATGTGTTTCTGGGGAGGCAGACCAAAGGGAGAGTTAGAATATACCTATGGACCACACGAGTCACCACCAGAGCCTCTGAAACCCCAAATTATTTTGAATCTCCCCTATAATGAATGCTTTCTCTATTGCTGAGGACCAAAGCTCTGGCTTCAAGCATTGGAGGGAAACACCCTGCCCTTACTGTGTCAAACATGACTGAAGAAGACAGGAGGACACAGCTGTAATCTAGCAGTTTCCTCTCCACACTGGACCACTTATCTAAGTTTGCACCGGTTTGTCAGTCAGTCTTTCCTTGACTCCCATCAGAGACATTCTTCAAGGCTGCTTAGTCTGCAGTGCACACAAGGCCAAACACAAAGGCTCCCTCATGGGACTCTATTTGGTTTGAGGGCGCTGCTATTCTCACTGGGGACTCACAGCAGTGCCTCATGGAGAGGCAGCTTGTTTTTTTCCTTCTCTTCCATGTAAACCCAAAACATATGTAGCCAAGGCTACCTACTTATCTTGACTCCAGATGTCAAGGCTGATAGACAGCTGGCAAAATTACTAGGAAAATATGTGACTAGATAACGTCTTCATTTTGATGTTCCTTTCTGCTCAGAGTCTATATTCCTTTCCACAGCATTGCAAGTCTCTTGAATTCACTGTACATTGACTGGAGACTGAAGCATTAATATCACAAGTTCAAGACTGGCCTTGGGCCACATAGAGTTCAAGGCCAGTCTAGGCACCTGAGGGAGACACTCCCAAGTTTCAGGCCAACCCCATAATAAGTTCTTGTTTCAAACATAATAAATAAACAGATGAATTAATAAATAGATAATGCTGAGGGTGTAGCCCAGTGTGAGTGCTTGCTAGTATGCATACTATGTCCTGGGCTCAATCACCAGTACAGCAACAATGAAAAGCAGCATCCCCGCCCATGTGCCCTCCAGTGTCGGGAAGACAGGCTCTCACCAGTGCTCCTTCTGGACCAAACATTTCCAGGAAACTTCCAATGAATTCTCGGGACTTCTCCTCCCACTTCTGGATGAGGTCAATGCTCTTTTCTTCCACCTTCTGCACAAATTCTTTTGATTTTTCTTCCACATCTTTCACTTTCTTCTTTACTTTATCAACCCGTTCTTGCAAGTGATATTTCTTCTCCTAGGACAAAACAAACAGCTTTTAAGACATAATACCCAAGCTGGAGGAGATGGCTCAGGTTACTAAGCGTGCTTCCTGCTCTTCCAGAGGACCTGGGTTTGATTCCCAGCACCCGCTTAGGATGGCTCACACCTGTCTCTATGTCCAGCTCCTGAGAGCTCTGACACCCTGGCCCCTGCTGGCATCTGCACTCACATCACATAGACATATACATAACAATAAAATGATTACATTTTCAATTTTTGAAATTCTGCTTTGTTTATTAGTCTGTCCTGTATTTATTTAGCATAATAAGATTGCCAGGTGGTGGCAGCACACACCTTTAATCCCAGAACTTGGGAGGCAGAGGCAGATGAACTTCTGTGAGTTCGAGGCCAGCCTGGTCTACAAATCTACAAAGTTAAGAGCCTCTCTTTAAATATATTGATATAGTGTATTATATAATTTATACTTTTGTTGTTTTTTGAAAAGTGTCATGTTACTAGGACTGGCCTCAAAATTCTGATCTTGCCTATAGTCCTTTCACTAGAACAGATATATCTGTGTTGGGACTATAGGCAAACTCAATTATTCATTCCTGTTTGCTGAATTTTGTGTGTGTGTGTGTATGTGTGTGTGTACATTTATACATACATATGCATACATACATACATACATATACTTTTTTTTTAAAGACAGATCTCACTGTGCAACCTAGCTGGCCTGGAATACACAGAGCTCTCCTGCCTCTGCCTCCTGAGTGCTGGGATTAAAGGCATGTGTCACAACACCCAGCTTCGTTTGTCTGTCTTTGTATCAGTACACTGATATATTAGACTATATATGACTATGAGGGCAGAGCCTGCCTCTGTGCATCTCTGTGAAGAGCTCTGTGTGGTATCACAGCAGACTGAAAAGCGTGCTCAGTCCAGATGGCATGGGAAGTAAGGTGTGTCCTACAGAGAGAGGCAGAGAACTACGGGATGAGGTTGCAACTCACATTGATAAAGCTGACATTGAGCTCCTTAGCAGTGTAGCCCCTCTGTAGGTTCCGTCTTGCATATACATCATAGTCACGGACAATGCGGGTGATGATATCTGATGTGGAGATACCTTCTGTCCTTTGTGTTGGAGCAAACATGCCTAAGTTGAAACAGACAGACAAACACTATGATGTTCTGGCACATCATATGGGGACTAGACAGACTCTGGGAGCAATACACTTCTTTTTCTCAAAAAACCAGACTCCCCTTTAATCCCAGCACTTGGAAAAGGCAGAGAGAGGCAGGTAGATCTCTGTGAGCTCAAGGCCAGTTTGATCTACACTGAGTTCCAGAACAGGGGGGAAAAAAAAGCAGACTTATTACTATAAGCAAACTCTAGAGATCCAGCACACAGGAGGACTGAAGCAAGGCCTAGAATAAAGGAGGCACACACTGTCCTAATGGTAAGGAAGTGTGGGACTTGTCCTAAATTTAAGAGATTAAAATGAGATGTTTGGACCAAAAATTGACAGGTGTTGGAGTATGCGCATGTATACTGTTGTCCACAATTTGACTGTGAATTTCTGAGTTCACATTCTCTACTGTAAAGCAGTGTCACGGCTGACTCTCTGGAGTTGCAAAGACCCCATAAAGTGAAGCTGGACATTAACCCACTCACCTGCTTCTTTGATGTGCTTATACACGTCATCACTCCCTGCCGAAGAATAGGGGATATCGTCATGGGCTACGAAATCAATCTGAAAATAGGAAAACATCATCTCATCTCCAGGCTAATTGCCATTTGGAAAGACCCTGTAAATATCCTGGGGCTCAGAAAAAGGGAAACTGGCAGGGGCATGCCTCAAAGCAACCTTTTCTCTGCACCTTTCTGCCTGGTTCATAATTCTATAATCTGTTCAGAAACTAACCTGATTATTTATGACTTTACATAGGAAGTTTGCAGTCCCCTCTCTAGCTATCTCTCCTGGTCTGAGAGAAGTGCTACTGTCCCCCTGTACACCATCAGCATGCCGTGGTCAGTGGAGCAGGAGAGGTAAGCCAGCTAGCAGATAGAGCCTAGAAAGAAGGGAATCTCCCTGTCCTCTCAGCTCTATAGAAATGAGCCACAAAAAGGCTTCTAGAAGAGAGAAAGATTTCGTTATTGCTTACTTAACTGCTGTTTCTCTTACTTCCCTAGAAAAGGGGAATTTGGAAATACCAATTAAAGTCCTTTTACCAGAACAGATATATTAGTTCTACCAAGAAATGTAAGACCCAAAGTTACGAGTGTTTATCACTGTGTTGCTGTAAATACACTTCACAAGACTAGGAGAATTGCAAACCCTCATTTATTGACTCTTTCTAGATAGCCCGTAAGACATTGCTACTGTAATACTAACCTTAGCAAACTCAACCCCCAGAAGCTACACAAGTGTGGAGCAAGCTCCTCAGGACCTGAGCTGACATCTTCATCACCCAAGAACAAGTTGCCAGGGACAGCAAAGTACAGGCTCAAGCAAGCAAGCTGAGTGGTGGAGATTTACTACTTACAAAGTTCTCTGACACCCCTGTCTGGGGCCGGCTGTGCTGCAGAGAATACCTTGCTCATCGCTCTTGGCCCCACTGCTAAGTGCTGATGGAGGAAAGGTAGAGAGCCACAAAGGTCTGTCCTAGGCTGGTGAGATGGCTGAGCAGGGAAAGGCACTTGCTGCCAAGCCTCGTTAACCCCAGTCCCATCCCTGAGAGAACCGGCTCACAGGCTGTTCTCTAACCTTTACCTGTGTGCCATAGCTCCATACCATACAATAAGTAAATAAAATGCAGTAAATGGTCTATCCTAATCCTAAAGTTACAATAAATCTCCGCTGGCTTCAGGCCTACTCAAGTACCGCTTCAGAAGCATGGTGGCTATCTTTGCTCCTTCCTGCCTCCTGCAATGACCCACATACCCACACAGAGAAGTGACAATATGCACACTGGCTTCCCAAGCTGGGGTCTCAACTGCTGTAATAAACCCATAGCTTTCATGCCCACCTTTGTAGGAAGCATGCTTCAATCAGGGAGTACTCAAAGGCAGGGGCTTTTAAAATAATAATTACTTCTTAAACAAGAGTGAGAACACCCTTGGTTTTTGCTCCCACACAATCCAAAGCTGAAAGTAAACTGAAATCAATAGAAGAGAGCATGTGTTATTTCCTAAATGAAAAGTTTTTCTCTCTTTAATTCGGTTTTTGTTTGTCTTTTTGAAAGGTTTTATTTTTATATATTTTGTGTGTGCCTGGTGTCCATGGAGGCCAGAAGTTGTTGGATCCTCTGGAACTGGAGTTACAGACAGTTGTAAGCCACCATGTGGATGCTAGGAACCAAACCCAGGTCCTGTACAAGAACAGTCAGTGTTCTTAATCCAAGTCATCTGTCCAGCCCCCTTTAAAAAGATTTTATTATTTGTGTGTGTGTGTGTGTGTGTGTGTGTGTGGCCACTGAAAGTCACCTCATGCGTGTGCTGGGAAAACGCTGGTCTTTTGAAAGAACACAAGAGCTTTTAACTGTTGAGCCATCTCTCCAGCCTGTGTTCACTTGTTTTTGACACAAGGCCTCAAACTTGTGGTCCTCCTGCTTCAGTGTCTTGGCTTTGGAATATAAACATCTTTTTTTTTACATTTTAAAAATTAAATTTCTTTATTTTGTATGTGTGCAACTTGTTCATAAATGTGTGCATGTAGGCTAGAGGATGGTTTGCAGGAGTCAGTTCTCACTTTCTAGCATGCGGGTCCAGAGTTCAAATTCAGGTCATCAGACTGGACAGTAAGTGTCTCTACCTGCTGAACCATTTTACTAACCCAGATAAAGTCCTCAGTGCATGGCTAGAACTACAGATAGTCTAAAGAGATTAGCATGCTATAAGGCGAGGACACACCTATTGTGTGAGGTAGCCAGACAGTTCATTTAAGTCCAGCTGACACTGTAACCTGGAGCACATTATTATGTCTCTCTGGGCCTTGCTCTCCATACACAAATGAGATAACTATCCCCACAAGATGCTGTGGGGAGCAACCAGAACATGACCATAAGGGCACATGACAAATGGAAAACCAGCTTTCTGTCAAGAGCTGAGGGGATGTTGGAACTAGGAATGAGTACGTGTGGCCAGTTTCTTACCCGGTGCTCTGCCAGGAACTCGGGCGTCAGCGTCCAGGGGGCGTTCCTCACCACCTCATCCACGTAGCGGCAGTGCTGAACTGCGTCATAGCGCTCGTTTTCGTTCATCACGGTGAAGCCCTTGAAGTTGTGCGTGAGCTCATCACTGCAGACTGATGCACAGCACCACAAGTCGTAAGTCAGGGCCCCGCTGTCTAACCTTCCTCAGTCACCAACCTTTCCCATCTTGGGCTTTCTAGGCCTGTAAATGCCTGCCCCACCCCATCCAACGAGGAGAAGATTCTTCTGGATATAGTTCAGCCTGGATAACAATGTTTTTCCTAACCTGAGACCTTCAGGAGCCACATTTAATACACCAAGGCTCACACTTCTGTAAAGGGTAAAATATGGAACTCAGATTTTGACTGAGTTCCTGCTATATATTTCCACACCAGTGAAGTTTTTAAAAAATGTTTTACTGGAGCTGGAGAGATGGCTAAGCAGCTAAAAGCACTGGCTACTCTTAAAAACTACCCAAGTTTGGTTCCCAGCACCCACATGGCAGCTCACAACTGTCTGTAACTCCAGTCTCAGGGAATCTAATGCCCTCTTCTGAATTCCTTAGGCACCAGGTACACATGCAATACAGAAATACACATGAAGATCAACCAGTCAACCAACAAAAAAACCTATCCATACAGATAAAATAAATTTCTTAAACATTTTCATATTTTAGTTTCCTAAGATTGGACTTGATCATAACGTTTGCTTGGCAGACTGCTATTGACTCAAAGCTAATGAGGTGAAGTCAAGAACAAATGGTTTTTAGTAGACAACTGACCAGTGCTGCTCTATACCCTAGAACCTCAGCTATGAACTGTGAGATAGCCCAGGCCCTCTCAGTGAGCCTACTGCTGCCCTCTCCAGGCTGCGCTGCCACTACAGACTGTACTGGGATAGCTTGTACCACACCCTTCCTTTCATAAATGAGACCTGGCTCAGTCACTGCACTCAAGTCACACAAACAGGAGAGAGAGCGCTCTTTTCTGAACAACACCTAAAGTCACCCGATGTTTTCTTACCTCCCACAATGAGATATGTATTAGGGAAAAGGTTCTTTGCTTGCATCAGAGCCCGGGCATGACCAGAGTGAAACAAGTCAAATATTCCATCCGCATAAACTCTCACAGGCCGCTCACCTGGATCCAAATGAAAGAACTCATCACAAAAGTACACTTAATCAGTCCCTCATACCCGACACACAGAACGGCCGCACCATGGGATGCTCACTCATTTCATTCTCCTGGATGGTCTCTGGGGCCAGGCCTGCTGATACAGACCTGTAACCACTCTGGAAGCTGGGGTAGAAAGATTACCAAATTCAAGGCCAGCTTGGGCTACAGAATGACTTCAAGGCTAGTCTGGACAAAGCAGTGAGACTGTGTCTCACAATAAAAAGAGGCATAGGTAAATAACCCAAGAGCAGAGATCCTACATAAGGCCCTAAGGTTAGTCCCCACAACTATAAAAATTAAAGTAAAATAAATGCACACATGCCGGGCGGTGGTGGTGCATACCTTTAATCCCAGCACTTGGGAGGCAGATGGAGGCGGATCTCTGTGAGTTCGAGACCAGCTTGGTCTACAAGAGCTAGTTTCAGGACAGCCTCCAAAGCCACAGAGAAACCCCCGTCTGACAGCTCTGAGTCCTGGGACCTCACCTCCAGTCTTTGGTAACACAGGCTGGTATATTAACCAAGTGGCCATAAGGGGCCACTGTTGCACAGGTCTTGGGAGAAGCAAGCACCAGAAATTCTTCAAGCAAATAAACTACACCCTGATTGACAACCATCTCAGTTTACTAAGAGCAACCTCCTGTCACTCTCTGGGTTATAAATAGGTGGCTGCATTACTCTAGCTAAGTAGCTAAACCAGGCTTCAATTCACTGTCCACACTGACACCCTCTCAAACATCAATCATGGAACCCCCTGCTTCTTACACATTTCCTTTCTCTGGGTTAAACACAATGCTGGCTTCAGTATCTTCCAGTAGATGCCCGAAGGCTAGCTCACCTGTTTTAGCATATCTCTACCTCTGACCTACCTAGGACTTTTCTTCTAGATTACACAGACTCCCTGTTAATCTCTCTTAAATTTCCTAGGGAAAACATTGGCGAGAGGAATAGGGAAGAAATACTTCTGTGTCAATTATTGGATTAGAATTCCCTAACCAGTACAAGAGCTTTCCTTGTTTTGTTCCTTTTCCTAAATTGACAAAAATATATTCTTGTCTATATAACACAAGAGATAGCAAGAAGAAGATGCAAGAGAAAAACAAAAGGTCAAACCAGCTGGCTAGCTTTACAGGAGAACTTGCTACGGGTTCTTACACCCAAACCGTAGGCGAGGTGCCTCAGGGGTTAAGAGTACTTGCTGTTCTCTGGAGGACTGAAGGATGGATGGTTCCCAGCACCTGTGTGGCATCTTACAACCACCTGTAACTCCAGGTCTCAGAGACAGACGCCCTCTTCTGGCCTTCTCTGACACCAGGCATATACATAGTGGACATGCAGACATGCAGGCAAAACACTCATACACATAAAAAATAAATTAACAAAAAACAAGATGCTGAAATGTCTTCAAAATCCTCCCATTACTTAGCACTAATGCCTACAAAGAACAACAAAATAAAACAATACCAAAATAACCCCAGGCAGTGATGTCACATGCTTTTAATCCCAGCACTCGGGAGGCAAAGGCAGGCAGATCTCTGTGAGTTCAAGGCCAGCCTGGTCTACAGTGTGAGTTCCAGGACAGCCAGAGCTGTACAGAGAAACCCTGTCTCAAAATATATATATATATATATATACACATATATACATATACATATGTATATATGTGTATTTCTGTCTAAAATATTTAAATAATTAAGATCATTGGTGTTTGTTTATTATAAGATTCACAGCCTGGAAATACTATACCACATCATCTTTGCTTTTTTCCTGTTAGCACCGAACACTGACCTCAGTGTCTCAGGCAAGCTAAGCCCTTGCTTCCTCTGTGCTATACCCTCAGCACACTACTACACATATTTTCAGTTTTTAATGTGCCATGATGATATGTGGATACCAATAACAAACTGGATAATTGTGAACAGAGCTGAGCAAGGTATGCGTTCTGAACGTGAGTCATTATATAATGCATAAAAAGTTGTTAACTACAACAGGTTCTAATACGACGTCTGAATGTGAAACATGAACTGTCTGCTGGCGTTTTGAAATTTGACCTCCAGGCTAGTGAGATGGCTCAGGAGATAAAGGTACTTGACACCAAGCCTGCATATTTGAGTCCAATTCCCAAGACTTATGGTAGGAGAAAACTGACTACTGAAAGTTGTCCCCAACCTTAACATGTATACTGTGGCATGCACACCATATACATACAAACAAAATAAATAGATACATGTAATTTTAAAAATTTAAGAGGCTACATAGTGAAAATATAACCCAATAAACAAATAAATTAAATTCACTTGATGAATCAGGTTGTGATCAACATGATAGAATTTTATATAGTGAAGTTATCTTCTGCAACAGAACATTAAGGCAGACTAGCATGGTAAAGACTTTAGAAAACAAAATAGTTAAGTGGTTACTTACAAGGAGTTCCTCTGCAGGCTTCTTCCATAGTTACCCTGACGTAGGGCTTACTAAAGTCAACTTCAATTTCATCAGAAAAAGGAGCTGGCTGCCGTAAGCCCTGAACAAGAATGTGATAGAGAATTAAGTCAAATTCAATAATGTACAAAAGTACTCAAAATAACAGCTTTTAAGAACAGCTAGTCAATGATGTGCCTAAACCTTTTCAACACAGAAAAGGCAAAGAAAGTATTCCAAAGTGAAGAGTGACAGCTGCAACCTTCTTCAGGTTGAGTAAACCATGGCATGAAGAACAAATGTCTTTCTGGCGACTTCAGGGTAAAACTGAGAAAACTACCTGGGAACCTAAGTACAGCCCAAAGAAACTGGGTCTGGAATGATGGCTCCCCGCAGCATGCTGGAATACCAAACCTTGAAACCTGTGACAAATCTGCCAGGGTTTCTAAGTGCTTTTCATATTGCTTCAACTAGAGAACAGGAAGGCAAGCAGCTACTGAGTAAAACCATGGCTGCTAAATGCTTCATATAGTATTTTCAAATACTCCCTGTAAGGCAAGATATACTACAGCAGGACCCTCTATTTATAGGAGGAAACAAAGATCAGAGAGCTATGAGAACTATATGCACTAAGAGGCAAAGCTGAAACCAGAATGCATGTGTGCTTGTCTCTCTGTACATGGCTTTGCTTGGGAGACTTTGTTCAATTTATTCTTAAGATTTTATTTCCATCAGATGCTATATAAATGAATCTTAAAAAGCTCTTTGGCTTGTTTCTTACTAGTATACAGAGATGTAATTGATTTATTTGTGTAATTACAATGAATTTCTTTGGTCCTATAACTCTGCTTAACTCAGCCACTAGGTTTGTTTTGTTTGAGAAAAGGTCTCTGGACTCATCCTTCCGCCTCTAATCAGTTAAGTACTGAGATTACAGGTGTGCCACTATGCCTGGCTTCACCTATTAGTAATAGTAGTTGTCATGTTGTTTTGTTGACTCCTTAGGATTCTCTATATATGAGATAATATCTGTGAATAAATACAATGTAATACAGTTCTCTTCAATGTGGGTGTTTTATTTCTTTTTAGCACAGTGTATTGCCATTAGAACTTCTAGTACAACATTGAGCAGAAGTAAAGATAAATATCAAAACCAAAAAAAAAAAAAGATCCAAGTGGTGGTGGTACATGTCTTTAAAGCCAACTCTCAGGAGACAGAGGCAGATAGATGGATCTCTATGAGTTTGTGGTCATCCTGGTCTGCAATGAGTTTCAGAACAGCCAGAGCTACATAGTGAGATCCTGTCTCAAGAAAAAAAAAAAATAGAGTTCTAAAGAGTTTTAATAATAAGTGGCTGCTAGATTTTTTGTCAAATGATTTTTCTGTGTCTATTGAAATAATCATGCTTATTTTTCCTTCATTTATTAATTATGGTGATTAGACTATTAAATCCATCTTGCAGTCTCAAGAAACTACAGTGTTTGCATAGGCTTTGTTCATGAATTCAATCTGCTAATATATCATTAAGGATTTTTGTATCTAAGTTTTGAGATTTTTTTTTTAAGTTGCGCTTTCTTGTGTTTTGTCTGACTTTGATATGGGCCTTCCAAGCAATCAATGGTTTTATCAGCTTACAAATTTTCTGACTATTTAGTACCTGTGTCCAGCACACCTTTGATACAGCCTTTCAGGTGTTCAGTAGGTCTGGTCTTTAATCTGAGTGCACTATTTGGCAGAGAAAACTGAACAGGGTGCATGAAGAAACCTTTCAAATGGGATGGACACACACACACACACACACACACACACACCTTGAACTGCGCCCTGGGTTTGTCATCTTTAACATCAACATGAACCTAGAACTTGTCAGCAACTTCCTGCTGCTGCTCTTCCTTTTCCTATTCTTTTTTTTTTTTTTTTTTTTTTTTTGGTTTTTCGAGACAGGGTTTCTCTGTATTGTTTTGGAGGCTGTCCTGGAACTCACTCTGTAGACCAGGCTGGCCTCGAACTCACAGAGATCCGCCTGCCTCTGCCTCCCGAGTGCTGGGATTCCTTTTCCTATTCTTGAGTATTTGTTAGCACAGGTTTCCGATGGCCACAGAGCTATTTATTCCCTTTTGCTCAAACAGCCTACAAATTAAACCAGGCCCTGGGAGAATCATGATTATTTTCATAATGACAGGAGTAAGGCTCTAGAGAAAGAGATGAGAACAATGGAGCAGAAAGTTTCTATCCTCTAGCAGGTATGTTCAATCTTTTGACATTGTGAAATGACAAGCTACCATTTACAAGTTCATGCTCAAGGACTGTACAATGACAAAAAAGGAGGGAGTGAGGTAGGGAGGAAGGAGGAAAGAAGGAATGTCTCAAAGAAAACAAAATTAAATTAAGAAAAAATTCAAGCCGGGCAGTGGTGGTGCCCACCTTTAATCCCAGCACTCAGGAGGCATAGGCAAGCCAGCCAGGTCTACAGAGTGAGTTCCAGGACAGGCTCCAAAGCTACAGGGAAGCTGTCTTAAGAAAAAAAATCAATATTTTTGACTAGGCTTTAAAATATATATATATATATATATATATATACACACACACACACACACACATATATATATAATTTATTGTTTTTTTTTTATTTTGGGTTCATTGGTGTTTTACCTGTATGTGTATCTGTCAGAAGTCCTGGAACTGGAGTTACAGACAGGTGTGAGCTGCCATTAGGTGCTGGGAATTGAACCTTGATCCTCTGGAAGAGCAGTCAGTGCTCTTAACTGCTGAGCCATGTCTCCAGCCCCTCAAGGCTTTTTTTTTTTAAATTTCATGTGTGTGGGAGTTTTGCCTGAACATATGTCTGTGTGCTGCTTACATGCCTGGTGTTGGCAGAGGTCAGAAGAGGGCATCAGCCCCTGGAACTGAAGTTACAGATGGCTGTGGACCATGTGAATGCTGGGAGTTGAGCCAGTGCTCTTAACCACTGACCCATCTTGCCAGCCCCAGTTTAAGTAAATTTACACTTTTACACTGGGCTGCTTCATAGCTATCCTTGGCCACAAATGATCTGTGGGCCAAGGGTTAGAAACACCTGTTAAGGTTCAATAACAAATTACTTCCCTCACCCCTCAGTCAATGGCAATTTCTTGATATCTTCAGTTTTCTTCGAGGTGGTACTTTTTACACTATATATGATTTGCTCCTTTCTTGCCTTTTTTATTGTCATCGTTGCTGGTTTTTTGGGGTTTTTTTTGTTTTAATGTTTTATTTATTTATTATGTATACAGTCTTCTGCCTGCATGCCAGTGGAGGGCACCAGATCTCATTCAAGGTGGTTGTAAGTCACCATGTGGTTGCTGGGAATTGAACTCAGGTCCTCTGGAAGAACAGTCAGTGCTCTTAACCTCTGAGCCATCTCTCCAGCCCTGGCTTTTTGTTTTTAAAACAAAAGCTGGCCATGAACTATACTGCCCAGCTTCTTAAATCCTCCTGGCTCAGTCTCATTGTTCAAGTGGGTCATATCCTCATCTTTGCAATCTCAATAAAAGCATCTGGCAGCCAGGAGTTCTCAATATAAGTTGGCTGAAAAGGGACTGTGAAATCTTAGTCATAAGCAGAACCATGGCTTTTCCTCAATTTAGGTACTTTACACATACATAACACACACACATATACATACATACTTGCTTGCACATATATGTAACACATATGTATTTTAGAATGACACATTCATATAAGCTAAATTTTAAATTTTTTATAAATAATTTTGTGCTTTATTTATTTATTTATTTTGGGTTATAAGAGATAGGGTTTCTCTGTGTAGCCCTGGCTGTCCTGGAATTCACTCTGTAGACCAGGCTGGCCTCGAACTCAGAGATCTGCCTGCCTCTGCCTCCAGTGTGCACCATCATGCCCAGAGATTCATTTTTTAAGTGTGTGTGTGTGTGTGTGTGTGTGTGTGTGTGTATGTGTGTTAGATCAAATTCAGAACCTGCTATCTACGAGGCTGGCCCTCTATTACTGAGCACATTCCCTAGCCCTTTTGGTTTTTCCTTTAGGAATACCCCTACCAGCAAAAAGTCTAAATATACAGAGAAAATTGGACAATGTTATCCCCTCTCTTCTGCCCATTTCATTTTGATCCTCCAACTTAGCCACCTAACATTTGGTGACCTTTTTCCATGAAAGGACAAGCGCTCTTCTGAGGCTAAGAGCTCGGAAAGCAGAGTTCACTCTATGCTTCCATCTCCCAAAGGGAAGATGCTGCCCGTCCTTAGCCCTCCTGTCTACTGCCACACTGGCATACTGGAACTGTCATGTAATGCTGTCTGCCTGCATCAACAGGTAAGTGTGCAAGTCAACATGGTATGATACAGCATGAGGTATTATTTAGCAGTGAGAAGTTAAGCAGTGAACATACCACAGCATAGGTTAATCTTGAAAACACAGTGAAAAGGGCTAGCCACATAATGTGTTTATCTATAATATGTAGATGAGGCAGCACCTCAGAGACAGAAACTTTAGTGATTTCCAAAAGCTGAGCAGAAATGAGTGATTTGCTAGTAGACACAAGGTTTCCTTGGGAGTAGTAAATATACTCTAAAATGGTAATGACTGAAAAAACTGTGAATATATATAAAATTACTAAATTGCTGGGCTGTGAGGGAGATACATCAATAAGCTGTTACAAGAGAAGGGAAATTGTTTTTGCTGGAGTTCAAAAGAAGTTGAAAGTACAGGTGTACGGTGGTTATGACAAACACTCTTCTTAGCCGATGCTCTTCCCCCTAGAGGCAGTCAGCGTGCTGGGTGAGTGGGGTTTGGGCCATTAGCCAAGACTAAACAGCTGGCGTATACCGGAGAGATAGAGTGACTCATCCATGTAAATCATTTTACAGAGACTATGAAGCAAAGTCATTTAAAATAGTGGAACTCCTCCACAAGTCTCCTGGAAGCTCATCTCACCATGCAGACTGACGGACAACCTTTGCTCTGTTCCTCAGTATAGACGGTGGAGCTATGTGGTTGAGTTGTCCCTATTCTACATAACACATCTGAACTGGAGACACCATCATTTCTTCAATCTGAATTCTCTGAGAAACTTTCAGAAATTAATAATGCCCTAGGTTTTTATGTTGTTTTGCTTCTTTATATGGGATACCATTATGTAGTGTTTGCCAGCCTCCTCTCTAGAAGTAGACCAGGTTGGAATCGAACTCAGAGATCCCTGCCTGTCTGCCTGCCTGTCTGCCGAGTACTGCAGTTCGGGGAATAAACACAGCTGGCACAATGCCCCATTCTGTTGATTACTGTACCATCTTGAGAGTTTTCTATGGTATGTAGAATCATACTCCCTAAAAATGTCCACATTTTATTCTAGGAAGCTATGACAATGTTACCTTATTTGGCAAAAGGGGCTCTGCAGATATGGCTAAATGTAGGTTATCAGGGCAGGAAAATTACTATGGATAATATGGATATGACAAGTACAATCACAAAAATCCTTATAAATAGAAAGAAAGGGCAGGAAAACAAAGAGGCAATGTGAGCAGCCTCTGGCTTTAGTTCTCCAACACCCACTAGAAACTTCTACCCTCCAGAGCAGTCCACTCTGTGACTGTACAGTAGCAATGGGAAAGCGTCTATTTGTCCCACCTGTGTCAACACCAGGCCTAGAACACATGGCTCCTATTTGTGGAGATCAGTTAATTTCATTGTTTAAGAGAAATTGTTGAAGTTGGGAGTGAAGTAATCCCAACTGTAATACCAGAACTCAAGAGTCTGAGGCAAGAGAACTGCCATGAGTTTAAAGTCAGCATGGGAGATCCTATCTCAAAGGGAACAAACAAAAAACAGATGAGTACTGGTTTGTCTCAGTGTAGAAATACCTTTCCCTTTGGGCCAGAGAGCTCCAGAAGCAATAAACAAAGGTTGTCAACTAGATAAATGGCTATGGTCAATTGAGGTAATGAAACACAAATTTCAGAAAAATATCATGGTTCAGTAGTAATTTCAATCATCTCCAAGTCTTTTGACAAGTTCTCTTTTAGGGGAAGTTTTTTTTTTTTTTTTTTTTTGGTTTTTCGAGACAGGGTTTCTCTGTGGCTTTGGAGGCTGTCCTGGAACTCGCTTGGTAGTCCAGGCTGGTCTCGAACTCACAGAGATCCGCCTGCCTCTGCCTCCCGAGTGCTGGGATTAAAGGCGTGCGCCACCAACGCCCGGCACTTTAGGGGAAGTTTTAAGAAGGTACCAAGTTGAGACAAGACAGGAGTTTGAAATGATGTCATTCATCCAAGGCTTGGCAGTAGTCCAGGAAGAACCTCAATAATGGTACAGAGACAGTGGGATGTACCCAGCAGTGAGTAAGGAAAGGGCACAGGACACTGGCACCATGAGATGATATCCAGGAACTGAAACTTTGCTGTTTTGTTATTAAATTTTAACTTTTAGCCTAATACTTGTACATCCTCCATGTTTTCCTAACCATTTTTTCCAATTCCCATGTAAAGCTCCTATGGCTGAGCTGTAATTCACAACATGTCAAGAAAGCATAACAGCCTTTACCACTCACGCTACCTGCTCTTCCCATTATTTAAGAACACTAACACCAATGTCAGTGTTCCATCGCTCTCCACCTCCACCAGCAGCCTGTTTCCAATCACAGCTCTTCACTTACAACTGAGTAGTGCTGCATTTTAGAAGGAATGCCATCTTCCTCTGCCGCTCCATTAGGGCCGGATGCCTCTTTCCTCCTCTTCCTCGAATTGACTTTAGCTGAACTCTGAGCATCCATCTTCTTTTAACTGCTCAAAAAAAGGAGAAAAAATGTCTGAACCAGTATTCCAAAGACACAAATACACTCAACAAAAAATTACAAAAGCATACATTTCACCAAGATGAGCCAATGAAAAAAAAAAAAAGGCTGTGCAAACACCACTGTGGAACAATGGTCACAGTGCATCTCCTGGCCTTGAAACTTACTCCCGGCACTGCAGCCCACACACTGCCCTTTCCTATCTTGACTGTGTGAAGAAGACCGGATCAACTTGGCTGAGGAAGATTCTTACCCAAATAGAGCTAGTTGAAATGCTTGGAACCAGCACTACCAGATTTCAGGTTTTTTTGATTTGGGAATATATACTTAGGATTACTGACTATAAATTCCTAACCTGAAATACAAAATGCCATGAAATCTAAAGTATTTTTAGCAGACTTCGAACGGTCAACCTATACAAACTTTTTGTTTGGTGTGTTTTTGATGTGTATGAGGGGATTGGGAAGTTGACACAGGGTCTCATTATGTAGCACTGGCTGACCTAGATCTCAACATATAGACCAGGGTGGGCCCACACTGTGATGCTCCTGCCGCCTCTATCTTCCAAATGCTAGAATTACAGGCATGCATCACCACCCCCAGCTTATCACTACTCTTTGTATCTAACCCAGAAACATAGCAGGTGCAATGTGAAAAGTCGTCTTTAGTAAAATACTCTTGCCTCGGTCTTCTGGCATTGGGATTTCAATTTTAAGTCACCATGCCATTTCTTCTTCTTTCAGGATCACTACCTCAAACTGGTTCAGAATTCCCAGCTAATAAACACACAGGGACTCTTTCTCTAAAAGAAAACCCACTTTCTGTGTGGTTTAGCACAGAGTATGTTGTACTTCCCCATCCTGAGAGTCAGAACCACCGATGTTCTGTAGTTCTTATGACACCTTTCCAATCCTAGCAGGAATATTTGCATTACAATTCTTACTACATTTGTGTGTGTGTGTGTGTGTGTGTGTGTGTGTGTGTGTGTGTGTGTGTGTGTGTAGGAGGGAGGAGGTCAAAGGACAACTTGTGGGAGCTGGTTCCCTCTTTCTACCACACGAGTCCTGGGGATTGGACTCAGGTTGTCAGCTCTGGTGACAAGTGCCTTTACCCAATGAACCACCCTGCTAGGCCAAAATTTGTATTTTTCTTGGGCAATCAATCTGCATGAAGCAACTAATTCATTTCATGATGAATTGTTAGGTATCATCCAGAAACTGGGGATAGAGGAAGCTGTATGATCAAATGTCACTTCTGATCAAGATAATGAGTGGCGCCGGGCGTTGGTGGTGCATGCCTTTAATCCCAGCACTTGGGAGGCAGAGGCAGGAGGATCTCTGTGAGTTCGAGGCCAGCCTGGTCTACAAGAGCAAGTTCCAGGACAGCCTCCAAAGCCACAGAGAAACCCTGTCTCGAAAAACCAAAAAAAAAAAAAAAAAAAAAAAAGATAATGAGTGGCACAGTGGGAAATCTGCTGACTAGAGGGAGCAAACAAAAGCCAGACGGAACGAGGCCATTCCACTCTGCCTGGACGCCTCATGCGAGCCTCTCGAACGAGAGAGACATCCTTCTGACTGCAGCTGTGCTTCACTCTCTCTCCTCCAGCTCAAGTCTGTGTGGCCAGATCCACAAGAAACCTCGCCTGACTCTTAAGAGGCTGAAGGTGACGCCCTGTGAGTCATGGCCAAGCAGCTGCCTGACAAGGAAAGATAGCAGTCTAGAGCGACAGGAACACCGCCCAGAAACTGCCTTTCATTACAAACACAAGTTGACATGGAAGAAGCTCAAGTGCCAGAGACACGAAGTACTCCCAGTTAGCAGTCACTCTTCTAGATATGCACTGATCTGAGAGGCTTGCTAAGAATGATGTCAGGCCGGTTTCTAACTTGCTCATCACAGGGCTCTTCTATAAGCATCTGCTCAAGTCCTCAACTAAGGTTTCCTTCTTCCCTGATGACTGCATCTGTGTCAGGTTGACACAGGCTAACCAGCACACATATAAAACATCACAGTATGCCAGAGTTAGTGATGCAGCCCTGTAATCTCAATACTTGGTGGCAAAGGCTGAAGAATGATGAGTTCAAGGCCAGCCTGGCCTATACAGCAAGTTCCATGTCAGTCTGAGTTACACAGCAAGGCCCTGTCTCACAAAAGGAAAGGCTGAAATGTAGCTCAGTGGTAGACTTGCCTAACATTCAAAGGCACTTGGTTCAGTTTCCACTATCATGGTGGATACATACACAGCTATACATAATTATTATTAGCCAATTAAAATAAAATGCAGGCTGGTGAGATGACTTAGTGAGTAAAAGTACCCACTGCCAAGCCTGATGACCCAAGTTCAATGTCCAGTACCTACACCGTGGAAGGAGACAGTTGACTCCTGCACATTGTCCTTTGACCTCCACATATGCACATGCCTCCCATAAGTAAATGAAAAAGTAAGGAAATGAATAAATATCAACAAAATTAAATGCAGGCAGCCATTATTTTAAGGAAACTTCAATTGATACATAGAAGCCACATGCAGTGTTCCACCTTCAGAATGTTTGATAAAAGATTCCAAACTTATCACGTGACAGTTTGCTGAGCTTTGACACAATGTCAAACATTTCTCCATAGATTATTAATTACAAATGGAAAACGGCTACCTTGACAGCAGTAGGGAGGTATCACTCTACAAAACCAACCATATCATGCCTACTATGAGGTACTGAGGACATACCAGCCTTACAAATGTGTCAGGAGGAAACAAGCAAACAAATTGCCACTGAAAGACATCCCCCAAGAAGCCTAATCTCCAAAAACTGTTGGTCATGGAAAATAATGAAGGGCTGAGAACTAATCTTCCAGCACTAGGTGATGATGCTGTCCTGGACTACTTGTTTTCAGGAGCGATACACAGAAGTATCCTGAGACAAAGTCATAATCTACAATCATGATCTACAGCTACTTGCAACATATGACTCTAGGTGAGGCATATGGGAGTTTATGTTCCTGAACTTTGTGATAGGCATTACTTTTTATGGTTTCTTTTCTCAACACAAATATAGGAAGGGAAAACAAGGAAAATGTGTATAATATATATAAAAAAACAGAGCTGAAGTGTAACTCAGTGGTAAAGCACTTCCCTATCAGTCACAAGGCCCTGTTGGGTCCCCAAAACAGCAAAGTATGACCTTAGATTTAGCACAAGGAAGTTCATCTCAGTATTCCTGCAACTTTCCCATAGGCTTCCTTTCTTTTTAAAATAAAACATTTTATTTTAAAAGTCTCTACAGTTCCCTGCACAGATCAGCTCATATGAGATCTCTAGAGTTCCTTCTCAGTCCCAACTTGTTGAATCCTAGCATGTGCTGCATAATGCATGCTCATGTACTATATAACATATGTACATAGATGGCATTGCTATATAATGCATACTATATTTTTTACAACTCTGTTGAGGTATAATTGACACACATTACACTGCACAATGGGGAGGGAAGATGACTCAGTGATAAGAAGGTAGACTGTTCTTCCAGAGGCCCCCAGTTCAGTGCCCAGGACCCACAGCAGGCAGGCAACAATTGTCGGGAACTCCAGCTCCAGAAGGATCCTGTGCTCTTGGCCTCTTTCACACTATACCACATCTACCTACCCGCCCAAATATACACGTAATTCAAATAATAAAAAATAATTTAAAAATTGGAATGCAACATAAAAAATATAACTGCAGCTGTGCGGTAGTGGCGCACACCTTTAATCCCAGAACTCAGGAGGCAGAGGCAGGTGGATTTCAAGGCCAGCCTGGTCTACAGAGTGAGTTCCAAGACAGTCAGGACTGTTACACAAGAAACTCTATCCCCAAAACCATATACATATATCTATATATGGGAGATACACACATATACATATACATACATACATACATACATACATACATACATACATACATTTTATGCAGCACTTGGGAGGCAAAGGTAGGCAGCGGCAGAAAATCTCTTGAGTTTGAGTTCAGCCTTTGAGTTCCAGGACAGCAAGTAGTACTACAAAAAACTAACATGACAGACAGACAGACAGACAGATTCTGGGTCCCACAGACCTACCTTAATACCTGAAGGGTAGAGCCCCAGAAGCCTCCCATTATGCTCCCTCCCTCCCTCCCTGGTTTTTTTTTTTTTTTTTCATGACAGGGTTTCTCTGTGTAGCTTTATAGACTAGGCTGACCTTGAACTCACAGAGATCCACCAGCCTCTGCCTTCCAGTGCTGGGACTAAAGGGGTGCACCACCACTGCCTGGTGAGCTCCATCTCTTAAAGGTCCCATCATACTCATACAATAAGGACCAAACAGACCTAAGCTATTCAGAATGCAACTTTTTGGAGGATTTACTGACAGAGGTATGGTCATAAGCAGTATGAAGACCAGTTAGATCCTGCAATTTGGGTTAAGGAGGGAAGTTATTTATGGGTCAGGACAAAAATGACTATCATGACTGGAATGTACCTGCTTTATCTTAAGATAATATGAAAGAGTCAAGAGCATTCCTGGATCCTATGGTAAGCCCCTACATGTAACTCTAATGATTTTATCCATTTATGGTTTGCTAGGGAAATAAGGAAAAAAATAGCTATGGTTACTTAGAAGCGATCATGGTGGCTACAACTCAAGACTGCAGTCATGTCACTCCATTCTTATCATTACTGTAGTCATGTCAGCCCACATCCTTATCACTTCACAATGCAAAAATGCTTTCATTCCACCCTCAGCCACCATCATAACAAGTTCCAGTGTCATTCAAAAGTCCAAAGTCTCATCTGAAACCTTAAGGCAATCACTTCTACTTGTGATTCCCTGTAAAACAATAAGCAAGTTACATATCTCCAAGATGAAATGGTGGGTCAGGATGGAATAGATATTCCTGACCAAAAGAAGGCTAGAGATAAGTAGAAAGGAAGGACTGACCAGTCTGAAACCCAGAAAGGAAGATACTAACTGAAGTAACTC